GCCTTAAGCATGGTACTCCATTTTGCGGAGGGGCCCTCGCCTGGAAGAGGGAGATTGGGTGGGACTAGCGGGAGCGACAGACAAAGTAGGATGGGTTCACCTGGTGGGACGGGAGGAGGTGTTAGTGGAATATTTCACGATAGGGAGGGATGACAGCTTAATCGGGAGTAGACAACCTTTTGAGTGGAGAAAGAGAAAGGAGGTCTTTCGCATCAGGATTTTGGAGGAAGGAACGAGGTGGAGAGCGTTCAGACCAGGAACCCCGATTGAAGAACTGCCCCCGGACCCTGGAGAATGGAGATGGAAGCGGGGGAACATGGCAACCCAAGGAAGGGGAGGGCATCAGAAGGAGGTGCAGTTAACCAGCTTGAGAGCAAAAACGGCGTACAGAATGTTGAGGACTAGGAGATGCCTTCAGGATGTGGTGGAGGACAGGTGGCAGCGCCAGCTAAACATAGACAGGGGCCTGATAAGGCCTATCAAGTGGTTCCAAGATTATAAGTCGAGACCAGCCCAGATCTCAGCATTGCAATGGCAAATTGCACACCGTTGCTTGCCCACCAACGATTGGCTGATTGACCATACCAGGCTGGAGCAGCAAGGCTGTGCCCTGCCGTGTGGTGCCGAAAATGTATATCCAGTTACCCCCCACAGATGAGAGCGGAGACAGTGGAGCATATCTTCATGCAGTGCCCTTCATCAGTACTGCTGTGGCAGTGGTGGGATAGGATCTGGCTGCAAATGTTCCCTGAGTCACCGTGGCCGTGGGACTGGAGGGCGATCCTGCTAGGACACTGCCCAAACCTCCAGAAAGGCGAATACGCTTGGAACATTTTCTGTCTTGGAAGAAGGTCCGTACTCGGGGTAATCTGGTGGAGAAGGTGTGTGCTGGAGTTGGAGGGGCCTAGAGTGGAGGAGGGGGAGGTCAAGGAACATTTTAGGCAACTGGTGCAGACCGAGATCACCGCCCATTGGCAGGCCGTGAGGGAGAAGTTGGACAGCGTGCATTTCAGGAGGGATGCAGACCGGATCATTTCCCGGTTCTGTGAGGAATGGCTAGGCGGGAAGAGGGAGGGCTGGATAGTCGGAAGACGAGCAAATGGAACACCACAGGGGAGAAGAGGAGGATCCGAAGACGGATATGAAAAGGGATTACAGGTTGCAGCTTCGCGAATGGACAACCATTGACCCGGGGATCCCACTCAGACCTGCGCAAGACTTTGGGGACCCCTTCCCTCCCCACCCGCTGTCGCTGATGGAAATTCTGCAGGAAGGAGGCTAGCTGGGAGTCTGGCTGTAGATGGGGGTGTACAGTTCAGCAGTTTTCCGCCTTACCTTTTTCATTGTTAACTTTCCCCCCCTTTTTTTTTTTTTTTTTTTCTTCTTTTTTTCTTTTTTCTCCTTCCCCTTTTTTTTCCCTTTTTCTTTTTTTCTCTTTCTCTTTCTCTTTCTCCTTTTTTCTTTCTTCTTTTATTTGGTCTTCTCCCTCTATGCCTCTCCTTCTTATGCTTCTCCCAGCAAGGGGAAAATCGGTTTTTCTCCAAGACGTAGTCGGGATCGCCAGGTGCCATTCCAATAACACAGCATCTTCCATCCACAAGCATCAACAACACTCCCAGGTATGCCGGTGACGGCATCTCAGTAAGAGGGGATGGCTGCGTTGCCATGAGTCCCGGTGCCCCCCGGGCCCATGGTGACAGCCCCCTCCCCGCTTTGACCATAGCAAGGGATGAGCAGCCAGTGGTTCTAAGGTGAAGGGTTAGCTGTCATTGGTCATTGGGCTAACACTTGAGGCATCCCTCTGTCTGCTCAGTCAATCCCCTGGGATCCAGGGTAATCAATGCTGGCAGGCACTTTTTCAAAAAAAGAGTTGTACAGGGACGCTGGACCCGATTTCCAGCAGGTGTTGCTCCCCACCAATAGATGGAGCCTTCCAATACTGGGGCCTGCTTAAGGAGGATGCTCTTATCACCTCGTTAAGCAGGTTGCCCGGGGTGTGAAGTTAAAAAAAAAAGAAAAAAAGAAAAAAAAAAGACCGCCAGTACACGGCCCCAGCCTTGCTGAAAAGAACTCGTCACCTACAAAAATTTTGGAGGCTCAGCCTACCAGACCACAATGGCTGGCGGCGCCAGCCAAAAAAGAAAAAAGTGCGCCGCCGGCGGTTCGGAAAAGCTTGGTGCGCAGTAAGGCACCTGCACGCCCGGGTGTTTAAACAAAGACTTACTGTGCACCAAGCTTTCCCGATTTTTCACGAGAGAGACTCCATACTGTGAATATGACTATGCTGCAGTTGCATGAGCAGGATGCACAATTGTCAACAAAGACTTGGACACAAACATAGCACTCTGAATATATGGCACATCCAAGCAGAGAAGGAATATGAGGAGGAAGATGCTGGTAAAACGAACTGCTTCTCTCATCACTTTGTTTGACTGTTCTATGTGAGCAGTGTCTTCGAGCCTCGTCTCATATAAGCACCAGGGGGCTACAATCACAGCTATGGGCACGAAGTGCGGCAATTTGGACATTCTCGCCTTTTGATTTTACATTTTCTGATCTGTTACCTCTCTTGCATCCATGCACAAAATGATGAACAATTCTTTTTCTATAAAAGCTCTGTGTTCAAAACCAGCAACTCAAGAGTCCTTGAGTCGTAGCTATCGGCCGAGGCAAAGCTCTGGAGTCAAAGGTCATGTTGTAGGGACTTAGTGGCGTGTAGAGGAGTCCTGAGGTCAATAGCTCTGGGGCACAATGTCCATATCGAGTCTCCAGCGCATGGAAAAGTCAACCGAGACCAGGAAGGTTTTCGTTGGGCGCTACTTGGTCCAGCAGACCAAGAGTCAAAGGCTCCTCCAGAAGTCAACTATGGCGAGAAGGAAAAGTAACGACTGTGAAAAGCGATGACAGCATAGGAACGGATAGTCAAGAGTCACGGATGACTCAGGAGTCTGTCTGTCCTCCATGACAGAGGGGACATAAACGGTAGAATGCGATCCATGGTCACATGGAGGACCTACCTGGGCATTCTCAGTACAAAAGGTACCACAGTGGCTGACATTAAACATGCCCACAAAACAGTCCTGAAAATGGCATGTCATTGGCAGGCCATGACGAAAGAACAACGGGTATCACAGAGGAGCATACCGTAGCAGCAAAATGGGCGTATGATGTCCGACTGCACAGGGTGAGTATAATATGGAAAGGATGGGCGTCATTTTGCACGCGCGGCTGCAGAAACCATGACCTTGCAGTGATTCCTGGAGAGAAAATGATGCCTGCAGCTGATAGTAACAGTATCTGTAGCCATGCATAGGAGAAGGTCGCAGAGTCTTCAGACATCCCCCATTTCTGGGAGAGGGGAAGACAAGTGATCATCGACATAAAAGGGTGCGCAGCCGATTTGCGGAGGGAAGAAATCATCAGATGCCACGGATCTCAATCTCGCCATGAACCATTTTGTTATTGTCCCACAGATCCCAGTGATCACAGCCATGAACAGTGACCATGTACTGGCCAGATCCATGTACAATGCAGGCAGAGATGCCAGTTCAAGTTGGCAGTCTCTCATTACATCTTGCAAGATCTCAGTTGTACAGCCGCCTTCCCTGGTATAGTTATTACCTTCTGCCTTCAGGCAGGGAAGATCCACGTCAGCCTCCCAGACTGCCTTCAGGCACATAAAATCCACACCAGCATCCCAGACTTCAGGCAGGTAAGATCCACATCAGCCTCCAGCTGGGAGTCCGTGTGCTTGCACCAGGAGTGGTGGAAGAGAGAGAGAGAGAGAGAGAGAGAGAGAGAGAGAGAGAGAGAGAGAGAGAGAGAGAGAGAGAGAGAGAGAGAGAGAGAGAG